CTGGGGCGCCGCGCCGCGCCGCGCCGCGCCGCGGGGTTGGGGGACGCCCGCCTCCCTCTCCTCTCTGCTCTCCTCCCCGTCCCCTGTCCCCCAGCTGGCCGGGCAGGCTTCCACCGTCCCTCCGCCCGGGGAAGGCTCAGCCACTTTCCCCGGAGGACTCCGCAATGGGGCCTTCCGCTCATCCGCCAGGCCTCCGCTGCTCTTTGTGCTCCCCAGGGACTTCAGCTTACACTCCTGCGGCGCCTTCTCCCCACCCCTTCTTCCAGCCAAAGCCCCTCCTTTGCAGAAAGGCAGCCTCAAATTTTAGAAGTGGAGGCTCGCTCCAGCCTCCTCCTGGAAGCTGTGGTGGCTGGGAGGCCCGTCCTCTCTCTGCTGCCAGGCTGGGGCTGGGAAAGTGGGAGCCAGGGCCATTATCTTCTCAGGTGTGAGGGGGCAGGGCTGACCTGCCCCACCGTGGGCTCCATCCTGGACACCCTGAGGGAAGCAGTCAGTGATAGTTCTTGGGGAGGGTGCAAAGACTCCTCCCCCTAAATCTGGGTAGGACCTCAGTGGGAACCAGAGTGTGTGGGGGCCACCTTCCTGGGCAGGTGTGTCCCAATGGGAAGTTGGAAGGGGACTTGAGAAGAAGTTTAAGCCCTTCCCTTGGCCCCCGGATCTAGTGCTCAGGACCCTCACCATCAGGAATTCCTTCTTGCCATCTAACCTCAATCCTGCCTACTGCAATTTCAGCCAACTTCCCTCTCTCCTGAGTCGTTGCAGGTAAATGGTTGGTTATTATCTTCTCTGCGCTGGCCCTTTGGAGATTCAGGGACTCAGTTCTGGTCAGGTCACCTTCCCTGTCCTCCTGGCTGTGGGGAGTGGGCTGGATCAGACCATCATCTCCCCCAGTGGCAGAGAGACCTGTAACAGGTAGACAGACAGACAGCTGGCCCCTGGACTCAAGGCAGAAAGGCCCCTCTAACTTCCAGATAGTATGTCCAGCCCGAGACCTCTCCTCCCCTGGCTCACCCTTTACTCCTTCCTCTTTTGCTAACCCTGGCCCATGCATCTCAGCTGTCCGTCCCTGCAGAGATAAGGGCCCTGCACTCCTCCTGGGTCTGGCTTCTGCCTCCCCTTATCATGAGCCTCAACTGCCTAAGTCTGGGCCAAACAACATCCTGGCTGCAGAAGGGACAGCCCCCCCCCCGCAGGCCCCCGCCGTCCTTGGTACTGGCACCCACAGGCCGGGCCTGGACCCCTGTTCTTCCCTGGATCATGGAGAGCAAAGGGAAGAGGAGGAAAGGCCCCAGCATGCCTCAGCAGCCTGGCAGCATCAGTCACCCTCGCCCAGAACACAGCCACTAGGAAGCCGGCCCCGGCAGCTGCCTGGTGGCGCCAGCTGAAGCCCTAGTGCAGAATGAGCAGGCTTGGGCAGCTGCCTCCATGCCAGTGCGGTGGCGTCTCTGCAGACCAGCCCAGGGGAGGACTCCAAGGTGGATGGTCTTCTAAGTCCACCCCATGTTGACGCTGAAGCTCCCAGAACACTCAGGAAACCTCTCTGGACAGAGCCCTTCTTGTCAACTGGAGGCCCTCCACCTGAGGCCCTCTCCTGCCCTCTGGGTCCAGCAGAGGGGGTGGAGGAGGGGCCACTCCCTGCCACCCAGAGCTTCTCTGAATGACAATCAGCTCGTGCCAGGTGGGGACCAGGGCGTGACCCCTGGTGCCCAGGTCCTGGGCCTGTTCCTTGCCACCAACCGAACAGTGAATGTAGGGCCCCAGCCTCACCCCGTCCCAGGACCAACAACACCCTGGTTTGGTATTGGGAGGAAAGGATCCCCATGTCCACCCCCAACCCCCAGCTTCGCCCAACACTGAAGCTGGGCAGAGATGCAAAACTCTGGCTGGCCTTGGGACTCTAGAACTCCCAACTGACCTCAGGCCTTGTGTCTTTGAGTGTCACCAAGACAGGGGTGGAGGGAGGAGGGTGAGCAGGAGAAGGCTGGAGAACTAACTCTGCCTCTCTCCCCAGGAAGGGTCCAGGGCAGAGGAAACCACATCTCCAGTGCCCTGCCCCCAGCTTCAGCCTCGTCCCCCCCTGGAACACCTGTCCCCTTCACCAGGCCCTCCTGGTCCCAAGTACTCCTCTTGAAGGGTGTCACATAGCACCACCACCGCCGCCACATCACCACCACGCCACCCCTCTGCACTTCCATCATGGCAGCCTGTGTCACTGGCTCAGATGCGGTTCTGCTCACCCCAGAACCTGCCTTCCCTCCCAGCCGCACTGTGCACAAGGGGTGCAGGAGGAGGCCATGCTCCTGGACCGTGGGCTCCCCCCTTCCCAGCTCCTTGCAGGGAGCCTGGTTTGCTCAGTCTTCTCAGTTCTGGGCCCAGCCTGGTGGGCCTTGGGTGGGGGGGGCAGGGAGTTGCCCTCCCACTCCCCTGGAAGCCGCTGAAGAATGTTTACATGCCAAACAGAATGTAACACCCCCACCCCCTCCCAGTCACTGCATGGCCTCAGCCCATCCCCATCCCCACCCCAACACCCTGGAAGCCGCTGTCATGATTAGATTGGGTCTCAAAGGGAAGTAGCCATCACACCATTAAAAAGCCTGTGGACCTTTCTGTTGGCCTAGACTCGTCTTCCTTTGGGAGAAAGGGCAAAGCTCAAGTTTGGGGTTGGGAGGAGGGTAGGTAGGAGAGGAGTGCACACGTTGGCAACCAAGTGGGGCAGGACTGTCAGGGAGCAGATATGGACAAGGGGAGGCGCTCAAGCTGGAGGCAGCTAACTGCGGGGTCACACAGGTGGAGGGGCTGCTCTCTCTGAGAATAAAGCTGTGCTCGCTCACCTTCCCTGGGGCCTGCTCCTGAGGGCAGACACTCCAAATCTGTCTTCCGGCAGAGAGGGAGGGAGGAAGAATTTTCATTGCCCCAAGTAAGCAAACAAAAGTGTGTGGAAAACCATAGAGTTGCTCACACACAAGAGAGAATGATGGTCATTATTCTAGCAAAATCTGTGACAGTCACAAATGAACATAGCCTCTAAACCAGCATCTCCACCTGGAAGGATGTTCTAGAGACATGTTAACTCTCAAAATTCCATGTGTCCAGTTACTCGTTTTCGCTGTCTGCATAGTCTCTGTATAGTTGCACACAGCCTTTTCTGCAATTCTGCCAACCAAACGTTCTGGAAACTGGGACTTTTTTCCTGAGGTGGTACCAACTCATTTGGTATCAAAACCAGACCAGAAACATCTTTATTCCACTTAAACATGCTTGCAGTGGAAACATGAATTAATGTGCTTGGTTGTGGGGCACCATCTTTGAGCCTACTGTGGTGTTTCATGGTACATGGAATATGCAGTACGTGTGTGTGTATCTGAACTGTAACAACAGCTGATCACAATGGATTGGATGAGACTCGAGCGTGTAAAAGCAAAAATTCAGAAGCAGTCCAAATGTCTGTCAGTCGGGGCTGACCAGAGGAGCATGGCTGGCCCATGTGAGGGGCTCCCATGTGGGGGGTTCTTCAATGAAGGAGGTGGCTCTTTCAACACATTTATGGACCCGGCTCCAAGATTAAGACTAAGAGAAAGAACCAACAGTATCATATTCACCTGTCTGCGTAGAAAAGGCAAGTTGGGGTCTCTGGTTGCTTCACAGAGGCCAGTTGGGGGGAAGGGAGGTTTTCCTGTACTGTACTTGCTGTCCCTTTTGTATTTTGGACCCTAGGTTCACTAGTGTAAATCTTTCACCTAGGCAATACATAAACAATTTCTGTCCCAGGGCCGGCCCCCGACCCCACCTGGTTTGGAGGTAAAAGGACCCAGGTTCTAAAAGTCCTGTTCTCCTCTGAAAAGACCATTCGAGCACAGCTCTGCCATCCCAGCAACTGTGTCACCCTCTCCTGCCCCCCCACCTGGCTTCTTGGGGTGCTCCTTTCTCCCATGTGGATGCAGGGAGCTCTGGGATCTGATTGATCATCCTTTATTGAGCTCCCACATGCCTTCCCTGTCCTTCCCTGTCTGTGCTGTCAACAGCACGGCCTCCCTGGTGGCACAGTGCTATCAAGCTGTCACCAGCCACTGCAACAGGAGTTTGATCCCTGGTCAAGGAGCTGACCCACATGGCAAAGCAGACCTCTCCTGTCTCATCCACTCAGTAGATCTGCCTGTTCTGCTCCCTTCTCCTCCTCTAGTGAATACTCTCACCCCCACACCTCTGGTCTACACCCCAGTTCTTGAATGCGTATATAAATAAACCTCTTAAAATAAGCAAATAAAAAACCAAAAACGTCAAAAGCAGGTCACATTTGTTGTAAAAAAGCAAATGCTAAAAGCATGTAAAATAAAACATGAAAATTCCCATCCACAAATCTAACCATCTAGAAGTAGCCCCTGTGAA